ACTTTTATTGAAATTGGAAACAGAAGAAGAACAAGTGAAAGAATGTATGATAAAGTGGGCTAAAAAATGTGGTTATAATATACAGATGAAACAGTGGGAAAATATGTGGTTGAAAGGATTGAAGTTTACACTGTATTATAATGTTAAAGAGAACTTTTATTAAATGATGTACTGTTGGTATATGACACCAGAAAAATTATCTAGAATGTATAAAGATACTTCAAACTATGCTGGAAATGTGAACAAAAAGAAGAGTCATTTTATCATGCTTGATGTACTTGCAAAAAAGCTATAAGATTTTGGGTTCAAATGCATACACTGGTTCAGAGGATTTTAAAGATTAACATACAACTGAAAACAGAACTTTTCCTCTATTTTCAGATAAGCAGTTGGAAAAAAGTCATGGAACTTTGTTTTTATATACAATAACCATAGCAAGGTTATTGTACCCACAAAGATGGAAACATCTGGCAGTACCTACAATGGAGGAATGGTTGGTAAAGATGGTAAAGAACTTGCTGAGATGGCCAAATGGACCTGATTAATTAGAGAAGACAGTATCTACATTGATTGTTGACTGGAAACCCCTTATGGACTTTTTGTGTAAAACAGAAAAAAATGAACTTATGATCTATGGTTTTTATGATTAACGAAGATAGATTATAGAAGGAAGAGTGTCTTGATGTAACTTTAGAGAAAGAGGTAAATTTACAAGTGTACTTATAACTGCCGTAAAGATCGGAAACCATTTCTTTATATCTTTTTTCTTTATTTGCTATTTTTGTTCTATCTTTTTTCTTTTCTTTTTTTCTTTTTGCACTTTAGCTTTTCTTTTCTTCTTTTCTTCTTTTTTCTTTCTTATTCTATTTTACTATGTATTAATTTGTACTCTTGTTTTTAAAACTTTCAATAAAATTATATTTTAAAAAAAAGAGAATGGCCCTCCAAATTCATACCAAAATATAAATGACAAACAACAAGAAGCAAACCTATAAATCTCTTACCTTTTCCCATTTTCACTTCCTAGCTCATCTGAGGAAAAAAAAAAGACATGTACTTAAGCCAGCTGGATGGGAATCACTGGAATTGAAATCCAACACATTGGAAGAGCACCAGTTTGGGAAAGGCCAGCTCATGCAAACTGTCTAGCAATGTTATTGGTGAAGAAACTTTAAAGAACCTACAGCATATTATACAGCAGAAGAAATATTCCTTCACATGACTTGTCTTCAACTTTGACAAAAAAGGAATGCAGACAGAATAAGGCCCAAGGCAGAATATGCTTCCCTTTGCCCTTAGAAAAATAGCAGTTAAAACCTCTTTTCCTTTTCAAAGTGAATTGATGGGGCCCATGCTGGCACAACTTATCATATCTCCCATTAGTTTGACATCTTTGTTCACCTCTGTTGAAACTCCATCAAGAAACAATAGGACTGCTTAAAGAGATCAATGTCCATGCATAGAATAGTTCCTTAGCCTGCTTTCTTGGACTCTTTAGTGCCAAAGCGATGGTCATGTAGATATTATGAGAGTGCATTGCAAGGAATGGGCAGTTATGATCAGCCCTCCCTCAGTACCCTTTTCAAGTTGAGTCCAATATGAGTTATTGTGTTTCAGCAAAGACAACTTGATAATTTCCTGCAATGTCCCTTCATTCTGCTCTTGGGGACACTAAGGCACTCCACATAGTAGATAGTAGCCAAGAAACGAGGTTCTACTTTACTCAGTCCACCTTCATATTTGTTTGCTAAAAGCGTTGCCTTATGCTGTGCTTCTCAGGGAAATTGGGACTGCAACTCCAAAAACTCCTCACCAAAAGCATATTGGTTGGGAATTGGGGGACTACAATCCTGCCACATTTGCATACTCCTGTGTGATGGGGAATAATCCAATAGGTATGCATGTATGTGAAGCAGTAAAATATTAGACGTACTGTATAAACTAGTAAGAAAGTAAAGATAAATAAATAAAAAGGATTTTAATCCCAAGGAGAAATTAATAACCAAGTAAATTTGAGGACTTTGACACACACAGAAAGAAACAGCAGAAGGGTAGAAAAGAAGCCCTCTGTTTGTTTCATTTTGTTAGGAGCCAAGTGGGACCCCAAAATTGGATCTCTGCCCAGATTATATTGGAAAGGCAGGTCACTGGGTATCCCAAGGAAATGTGAGGATGGAGCATTGCTTAACAGCTTGTTCAGAGATTCTATATATAACATCTAGGGAGTGACAGCCACAAAGTGTACTTTATCAGCAGTAAGAGAAGAAAGTAGAGAAAGAAACAAAAAAGACTTTTATTTGTGATCCGTTACTAAAATTTTGGACAGTGTGGAATTACTGGGAAGCCTGTTCTGTCATAGAAATAAATAAGGCTAGTATCCATGGCAGGGATGTTTGTTCCAAATGTAAGCGGCTTCACATGTTTTGCAGTGCCATAAAATAGTTCATTAGTTTTTTCTTTATACATGATGCATGAACCAAACCATTGTGACATACTTAAATAAATCACACCTTAGAATGTTGTGTGAACACAACTTACCGTGTTTGCATGTACTTTCTATTCTAATAATCAAGAACCCAGGTGCAACCATATTTGCAACTGGACATAAAGGCCCCAAACTTCAGTGATAAACACATCAGACCTATTTTATACTTGGAGCAAGGCTTTTCACACAGTCACTGCCTAAGCTTACAGAGCTTTATAAGACATACCTCTAATCTGAACATTACCTTTGCAGCATGAATGCCTATTTTATCCCACATGACCCTTATTTCTCTTTTACCCACGTTATATTAATATTTACCTTCTTGGCTTTGTTTCTGATTGCGACGTCTTACAATAAAGATGATCAGGAGAATTAAGAGGACTAGGAGCAGTACTACAGGAATTCCAATTATCACAGCAGGATGTAATCCTGCTGTATCCACATTACTTTCTGTGGTAGCAGGACTTCCCATTGCAGGATTCTCCGTTTCAGTTGGTGTTGTGGCATTTTGCTGTTCCTGTTCAGTAACAGGGGTCAAAAATAAAACAGAACTAGTAGATCCTAGTCTAGTTGTAACAGTAGAAGATGATATGCTATCACCAGAATGTTCATAATTTTCCATTGTAGTTATAGACTCTACAAAAAGGAAAAACATAACAAACTTTATTAGTCACCAGCTTTTTGAATATTTATCTTTCGATCTCTAACATCCTTACAATATTTATTTATTTATTAAATTTGTCCCCCACCCATCTCCCCCCAATTATATAGATTTTCAAGAACTGCTATTGACAATTGAATTATGATCTTGAGGTTTCTCTTGCAACACTCTTCCCCTGATTATATGATGATTCATACTTCCTCTTTGGATCAATATTCATTTCCACAAAGATTGGTCAAGGGCAATGATTTGTAAACATGTAATAATCTTCAATTGAATGTACTTTTTGAAAATAACTACAAAGCATTCAGGAAAATAAAATTAAACTCAAATTGTATAAAACTCCAGTAGGCAGTAACAAAGATTTGAATTGAAAGACTAGCAGGAAAATTACTGGAAGTTTCTCAGTTAAATACATGCACATAACAGACATTTTTTTCAAGTTTGTTTTTGAAGTTTAATTTAGCATTTGAGTATTTATAATTCCATTATTTGCTTTTTCATTCAAATGATAAATCTTTTCTATCTGTGATTCCCATATTTTTCATCCAAATGATATAAGTGTTTGCATTCTGCTCAGGTATTTATAAATCTTGCAAGAAATCCTTGCCGCATAGGTCTGTTTCCACTGCATTTTCAAGCAAACAAAAAACATCAAGAGTATTAAGCAATGAGAGAGACTCCCACTATTTCTTATATTCTTCACATCCCACAATAATAAAGCAATACCCCTCTTTTCTTTCCCAAGCCTTCTGTGAGAACATGTAGAAGTGGATATTAGAAACAAAAATAAACAATGTCTAGGTGGTATGCCAAGTCAGCCTTTGTAGGTACCTGATTTATTTCTACCACCAACACTGTTTTCTTTCTAGAACATTAGACACATAAAATTTCAGATTTCAAACAGATTGTTTTAAATAACTGAATTACTGAGCAAATCCTTGCTCATTTGGTTGCTATTTATATTAGTACTATGTTGTTCCCACTGATTTTTATAACAATGAATGAACAAATGAGACTTTCCTTTTTTTCTTTCTCTCTCTCTGTGTACACACACACACACACACACACGCATATACACATACATGTATTTCCATATGTACCTGCCAAATACAGTTTCTGAAATAACTCTAATTACTCAGAAAAAAAAGACTTTCAAATTCATAGCAAAAGGCTTACTGCTAACAAAATTCTAGATCTGGAGCTCTAAAGAAAAGAGAAATTAATGCACAAGAAGCCTTTTTAAAAAGATATTCAGATTTATTAACCTGTAATATACCATGATAATAAATCCATCCTCTCCCAAGGATTGAATTCAGAATGCATTCTGAAAGCTTGATGTTATGGTGGGTGAGAAGTAAATATTTGTTTCTGCCTTCAACAGCAACACATACTTCAGACACTTTGCAAATTAATTGCTCCCAAAATAACTTCAGTCTGAGCTCTGTCACTCCCCCATTTATGCTGCCAGATCCTTAGGGAGAGATGTGGAGGAGAGATAAAAGTATGCAACAGTTGGTTGCTGCAACATACCAGTATTATGGTTAAAGATCTTCAGCCTACATGGCTATTCTGATAACTTTATCCATCTTTGTTTGACACAGAAATTACCATGTCAAATAACTTCACTAAGAAGAGTGAAATAAAACCATTACAATTACATTAACCAATTTACTGAAAGGTTCATCCCAGAAGCGATCAATAAAATCCAGTGATATGAATATCATATATTTCTCCAAAGAAAACCCTGGATAGCCAATTCATAAATTAATGGTTTTGCAAACCTGTCTGGAACCAAAAGAGTATCTTTAAAAGTTACATCATTCTGGGGAAAATGTGTGTAAAGCTGCACGTTGGCCAGATATTTTGGAGAATTCCCACAGTCTTTTACCATTGGTCAGCCTGGCTGGAGAAAATGGAGGTTGAACTCTGAAATATTTTCACAGCATCAGGTTGCCTATTCACAGCATCAGGTTGCCTCTAGGCTATGAGTAGACAGTCTGAAATTAAGAACTACTTGATAAGCCACACTGAGCCCTGTGTGGAAGGAAGGACATACGCAACTAGAATGCCCATACCCCTCCTTCTCCCAGTCTCCTTTGAGGGTGCTGGCTTGCAGATTTATCAAACCAGCCATTCAAAAAGATCTCAGCTGTGGTGCTATGTATGATGATGCCAGGAGGAGAAAAGAAGAAAGAGCACCACACTGTGACAGGACAATGATTACAGAGTGAGGAATGGTGGGCACAGCATTGCAATGATGAGAGGGGAGGCCACCCAAGAAAAATGTTGACCCAAGAAAAATGTTGAAAATATTCATGAAGGTCCAGTTACTGGCAAGCTTCTCTAAACACTCTGGAGTCTTGATATCTTGAAGCAATCTAAAGACTGACTAGTAAAGACCCAGGGTCCCATTCATCACAAAGGAAAAGTGTTAGCCTTCAAAAAGTGGGTCAGGCCTCAGAATAGCAGCTGCAGCCTACCAGCAGTATCAGCTTTCTTTCTAGCATCCAGCAAGTGGCAGACCCAAGATATCAACCCATGCAAGTGGAAAGTAGAAGCAAAATATAACATAGGCTCTATAAAAGAAAAAGAAAAAAACATCAAAGAAGACAGAAAGCAGAATAAGAGTATAGGAACTTACACTCTAAAAGAGTATATAAGAGTATTTATATTTATAAGAGTATAGGACTAGAGAACATATTATTGTAGACTAAAGATCCTAAAGAATAAGACTAAAGAATATGTCCCATTACTACATAAGTAATAGGACATATAATTTAAAAAAATAATGATAGGAATTAGGAAAAATAATGTAATACAGTAAGTATAACAATTAAAGACACAACAGAGGCAAAATACTTCTTTTGAAAGGAAAAGTTCTGGTTTTGTAAAACTTTTAATAAAATCCTGTTTGTGCTGGAATTCTTTCTCTTCTGGCTGGTGGCATCCCAATCAAACCTATGACACTTTTCCCTGTACCCAGCTGGTTTCCTACTGCCATTACAGTAATGATCATTTGCCTGATGGGGACTGGACATTCATGGCAGCAGGAAATGGATAACAGGAGCAAGCTCTGCAGTGGGTCCTGGGAGGATGAGGGATGGAAAGCAATGAAGCATATGTTGATGATATTATGTGTATATGGAAAAACGTGTGTACGATGCACCAATACGTGTGGCCCCATTTAGCAGTCTTTGTACTTTTAGAGCTAAAAATGTACTTATACGTAGTCTTGGCCTTGAGGCAGTGGTGATAAAGCGAGCTAAATATATCAATTAATTTTTAAGAAAAATGAAACCCCCATTTTCCCCAAATATAAAAGCTTTCCATGTGAAATGAATTATTTACATAGCAAAATATCCCAGCCTGTGAATTCCCAGCTGTAGTGGTTACAAGCCAGAAAGGGCTATACTACAGCATCATCTTGTAGTCTAGGTACATAAAATATTTCTTTTAAGTTGGGTATAAACATTCTAAGTGAATCAACATCTGCTGCCCTAAAAGACCATTCATCATATATTGTTCTTAGAAGAAAAAAAACTGTAATTAGTATGGAATGTTGTATAATAATATATGCATAATTCCACTAACTTTGTCACTTTGTGAGATGGGCAGCTATATAAATGTGATGTATAAATAAATAAAAATAAACAAACAAACTTCTAAAATGGAATACTGTTCTGTACAAGCCTTCTTGTGCTCCCATATTTTTATCTCTATAAAAGTGTTGCAATTAATGACAACCTCATGATTTCTCCCAATTTTGGCAAGGTTCTTAAGAAACCTCTGTTTCTCCTTCCTTAAATTAACATAAGGATCTCAAAATGTATACAAAATTATGACAAGTAAAACAGCTGATTTCTTTGTTAAAGAAAATAACGCCAAGCAAAAATCTTCTTCAGGGATTAACATTTTCAATTAACAGAGATGAGACAAGAATATAGCACTGGCTCCATCTCCACGAGCCCTAATGTTGATGTGGAAAATCTGCAAGGAAACTAGAAACATGTCCAGCTGTCCATGATTACTATACTTTAATCAGAAATCCTGTGCGATCAAGGACTGATTTCCCTTAAGTATTTTAATCATGTCCAGCTATATGTGGTTACCATTCTGTAGTTCTTGCCCATCAGTGAGCTCTGCCACGTAGCACTATCCATTGGATTTACAAAGCATATCCAAGGAACTGTAAAGCCCACCTGTGTTTTTTTTAAATTCTTTATTGACCCATATTCTAGAAATATCCTAATTGCTTCATCAAAATACAAAAAAGCACCTAGACACAGTGAAACTGGTTCTCAAAGTGTAGTAAGCCAGCAAAATATTTAAGACTTTATGTGCATTAGTGCTGCTCTGCAGCCTGGATTATGTGGTGGCTAGGATTGGGTGCAGTTACACATGAGACCTATGATCTTCTTGTAGTAGACGTCTCTATGGAGAACCCCTAATGGAAATCCTGCCTTTCCTCTTTCCATGAATTGAAGCTGATACCTGTTGTTTACTAAACATGGCTTTCTATAAGCATTATGTAATAAGGGTTGCAATCTTAATCCTGAGACTTGGTTATATCTTGAACTAAACCAGTTAAGCTGAAACGTATTCTTTTCCTTTATTTTATAAACATTAAACTTGTGCTCCTTTAGAACCTAATCTTCTGAAACATGTGATTTCCAGAACCATGTCAACCCAGTATAAATGTGGACTCTAACAATAGCCATTTCCAGGCTTTGTCTTTGCATCTTCAAGCCAACATGAGAGGTGAGGGAGTAATGTAAGTGAAAAGACAGTCTCATGCTTACAGCATGGGTGTTGGCTGTGGAAAGTCCAGCCCTCTAAGCAATTACTTCTGTGTGAGCTAAAATCCTGATAGTGGACATTTCCAGTCCTCATGAAGGCACATGGATCTAGGCAACAGCTCCCCGATGCAGATAATACTGCTGCATACATAGAGACTCTCTTTGTTTATATCTGGGGTGACTAGAAGAGGGCAGGAGTTCCTCCCCAGTTCTTTCATGTTGGACTGAACCCATGTGGATTGAATACATGAAACCTGCTGCTGCTCCAGACCAAGTAGAAACCCACTGTATTTTTGCTTAACATACTAAGTCATAGGAACAGATCAATAAATACATATGCAGCACCATATTATAGTGCTTTTATGAGACTTTTAAAAATGAAGTAAATTATATTTGTTTTATTTTATTTTATTTTATTTTATTTTATTTTTTTGCACAAGGTCATGTTAAATAACCCATTTAAGACACCCAATATAGATACTTCTCTTCCCCTTTGTTTATCTGCTAAAATAATAGGTATCATTCTGCTCTTCTTTGCATGTTAAGGGGGATTTCTCTTGATCTCCTTGCTGGCAGCCCTCCATGTCTTATTCTGAAGACCTCTCAAACCCCAGGAGCAAATGGGGAGATGTAGAGGCTGCAAAAGGGAGATATGGGGAAGCATCCAGTTCCACCCACGAGAAAGTATTTTAAGCCTGTGGTAACCCACTAGAAGCTAGTTTAAGCCTGTTTATCCTTGATCAGCTACTGATGAACTTTTTCTCTGCATGTACAGGTGAGGAGTTAGAATTTTGGGGAAAGGGTGGAATCTCAGAAGAGGTAGAACTTGAAGAAAGGGAACAGGACTTCCAGGGGGCTTGTAATCCAGATGGGGAACCTTCAGATATGAAGTTCCTTATGCCTCTAATAGCTGTTCAGTTTGATCCAACAAATCAGCATATGAAGAGTGTTTCATCATGGAGTAATTCAAACCATGGCATTGATCTAATACATTTAAGTAGTTTGATACAGAGCAATGCAATGCTACTAAAAATAGATATTTTGAAAATGTAGGTTCTACTTATCACGGCTTCTCACACTCAGCTATTTTGACATGAGACCCTCTTCAGTTTTCATAGAAAGGTGTGTACATTGTGTACATGTTTGCATGAACTATCTTGATTTGTATGTCAAATAATCTTTATCCCTTTTGGAACTTGCCTGAGCAAGAACTGCATGCTTTTGTTGTTCTTTTGAAGTTCTCTTTCAAATGAGTTTCTTTTAACAGTTTTAAAAGTTTAGAAGCTTATAATCATATATTTTGTAAGAATGTGGTGATTAGATGCACAAATATTTATACTTTCAGAGTTTTGTGCAAAGGTATACTACTTTGCAAGTGCAGAGGATAGAAAGATTCTTGTATGATAAAAGCTACAGTGAATGACAATTAAACAGTGAAAAATAAACAATAAAACCAGATAGTTAAAATAAAGTTTTCATGGATAAAAGAGGGTAATTAAAATACTTCAGACATTAATCCAATGCCATTAAAGGCTCAGGAGTTCAGGATCAACTTTTATTGATGTAGAATGAACTGTTTTTAACTTTTTTTTTTTACCAGTTCTCATTCATTTTGATTCAGAAGAATCTGCTGTCAAAATGACTTATGGAGAAGAGAATATCAGATAAATATTCATAAACTGAATATGATATTCTTAAACTTAATTAGTTGTGAGTGGCCAATGGGTGAACATGAACATCCTGCCTCTCTCCATTACTCTGCAGCCTTCCAGTTAAGGGGCAAAATGAATGTGGAAGAACTTTGTGACAGTGTGCCCATTTCAGCCTTTAAACCTGATTTAAGCTATTTAGCCCTATGAAAAAGGATCAGAAGGCCTAGGCTACCGATTCCTGCGATGTCATCACATCAACAGTTCTGTTCCTGTAGTCTTCAGGAACTGCAGTTTTGTCTTGCACAGTCCCAACTACAAAAGGTTGACTGCCTAGCGTTTGGACTACATGCACTGATACTGCTTTTATTCTAAATGGCAAGATAGGACGTGCAGAAAGTAACTCACCAGGTAAGCATGATGACGTCTACAGCAGTGAAGGAAGTGAAGCAGACTGGTGTATTTTGTCCTTTGTGGCTAACATAAAACTTTTAGACATTTTTTTCTTTCATAACAGTTGTGAGGTAAATCTATAAATGTTAGGAAACCAACTGTCTCACCTAATTTAGGGATCAAATTTGCTTAATGTAGGTACAGTATACTGTATTCAGACTGTCCTTTTACAGACAATTGTTTTAAAACTAAAAGGAAAAGCAAATAATATTTTTAATATAAAAATGTTTGTTCCAGCCTTCCCTACCCTTATGTTCCCCACATTTAGATTATAAACTGCATCAGTCTTGGCCACAGATGATGGTGGTTACAGTCTGTTGCTTTGGAAAGCACATCAGAAAACCTTGGTTAGGTATATAATCCTACATATATGCAAATAAAACTAGGCCAATTATTTTTCTAATTATTTTTATCTGGGACAAAAACACCCAACACATTTTTGTTGTTCTTTTACAGAGTGCTTCTCTGAAAGATACATATCTTTTAAACTATACTATCTTAAACAGCAGGGCCCCATTTTATATATTATTTTAGGAACTTAATCAGTTGTTCCTTAGAATAGTATATCTTCCAACTATCATGGTAGTAGATCATTACAGTCCTATTTCATTTACCTCTGAAATACTAATATTACAACCTTATCCTAGAAATCAACTTAGAAAAAGCAATTTATTAAATGTGTATTACAGTAATAGGAGCACAGGCTTTTTAAAAAAAAAACATCCAAATGAATTAATATCTTAAAGCACAGTTAAGAATGGGTCAGAAACAAAAAATTCATTCACAGATTAACACACCTCAGATTTGTAGTTCAAACTGGATCCATGGAAAGACAAGCCAGCATGCAGTTGGGAAACAACGCTGAAAGAAATGGTGCAGGCTTGCATAGTCTTTGCAGGGACCAGATTTTCTGGGTGTGACACATCAAAAACAGTTCTATAGCCTGGAGCATAACATTGTCTGCATGGTTATGCTTAACAATGCAGAAGGCATGTTCCTACTTACCGTAGAAGCTTCAGCAACAGAAAGAAGGACAATAAAAAGCCGTACTTCTTCAAGTTACTTCTCTGTGACCAGATGCGATACTGCTTTCATTCTTAGCTTTAGAGAGTATGTATATTTCCTGCTTACTGCTTCTGTGGTGGATGTGTAAGATGCCTTAAGAAGATGTACTATGTTCAGTTACTTTTAGGAAGTGATGTAATTCAGTTTGGGCCTGTCAGATGAGCAAACAATTGCAAAAGGTTCCTGGAAAAGCACTGATTCAACAGAAAAACATTAACAGTGAAATCTCCTGTGAGAATCTTGCAGTCCTCTTGCATCTCCAGAACCTGAATGCTATCCAGATCATAGCATTTAAGAGAAAGGGGGGGGAAGCATTTTAAAGTGTGACCGATATAATGTGGGTCACTGTGGATATAATACACTGAATTTGAGATCCAAAAAACTTCTTGTACACACACCACAGCAGGAATGTGTGGGTGCTAGTTCTGTCATCCAGCTCCTCCATACCTTCTGTAGGACTAGATTCCTTCCCATTTGTTATGTAGGAGGCTGCCTTATAGCAAGTCAGACCATTAACCAATAAAAACTGATTAGCAGCTGCAGGAAAGCATTTTCTGGTCCTGCCTTGAGTCTGACCCTGAATCTGCTGTACAACATGCCAGTGCTCTGCTACTGAGCTATAGATTATCCACGTGTTTCCCAGTTTCTGTTTTTTTCCTCATCATATGGCTTGGTTGGCATATTTCTCCCCCCCCTTTTTTTTTCTCCCTCTCCTTCTGTTCTTATTATTGAAGTTATCTAACTAACACTGTTGTAAGTAAAGATACTTTTCTTTTGTTAATTAGTTCAATGCAAAACGTATTTTTAAAAAACACAATAAGTAAGTCTGAGTTCCTATGGCACATGACAGAGTAATCAAAATCTTAAGTTTACCATATCATCTAACTCCAAGTCAACTGCCATTTGGATTTCTGGAAACCAGAGTTTTTAAGTTTAACACTTTAGTGATTTTTTTATTTATTTGATTAAATTTGTACACCACAGTTTCATTTGACATGTGATCACTTACAGCAAATGCCCACAATACAGATAATGGTTCAAACAATAAAACATCCACAATAAATATAATATTAATATATCCCTAATAAACAATAATGCTAAAATCCATATTACAGGATTACATGATGGATACTCCACATCCTGCAGATCACAGCAACAATACAACGGCAAGAGAACATTTAATTCCTGAGGGCCTTTTGGAATAATTCTGTTTTTAATACTTTCTGGATGAAAGTCACAAAGAAGGTTAATCTAATATCCAAAGGAAGGTAGTTACATAGTGTTGGTGCTGCAATTAAAAAACTGTCCTATAGCTTTCAGCTTCCTACCTCCACTCAATGACTCATGGAAACATGGGATTATAAGCAGCTTTTCCTGTGATATATGCACAGGAAGAGTTGAGTCTTGCTGGAGAAGACAGTTCTGAAGATACCATAGTGCAAGCCCTTAGTCCTACTAAAGGATTTGGTAGGTTGAAAACCGAAAGTAGAAGCCTACTAGTAACATGTGCAGAGCCTTGAGCACTGGTGTAATAGGCTTTTAGAGATTAATCCCTGCCAGTAACTGAGCTGATGCTCTCTGTACCAGCTGTAGTTTCCAAGTGGTCTTCAAAGGCCATTGCAATAGCCTATATGTAATAATGATGGCATTATGTTGCAAGATCTTTGTGCTTCAGGTAGGAAGATGGTGCAGCTGAAGATGGGCAGTCACATGACCAGTGATAAAATGGTACTACGAATCCTCATTAACAAAATTTTGGGCTTAGTGTGCCATGTAAATGGGCCTTTGTTGTCTACTGGTACTTGCATCTCTTTGTTGCTTTAATCAATTTTTGCATATTGCATATGCAAATTTTGCATATTGTTTTGAGAAACGTCCTGAAAGTCTGCATATTCATTCCTTTAATGTATTAATAAATACATCAATCAATAAAAGCATTCAACAATCACAAGATTGGTGAGGTTGAAAGATGGGTTCATACAACTGGATTAACCTATAATATTAGGTTTGATTTTGGCTTAGCAGTTATTGCTAAGGTATTATGGTTTTATATGGTTTGTAAGTTATGTTTTACAGCTTACTGTGTAGTGTTAACCTAGCTAGTTGTGATTTATTCAAGAAACAACAGTTAAGAAGACCATACCTTAGGGTAATGTGGGATTGACTGGCTGAAGATCATATATGACCGAACAGGCACTCCAATGTTGAACTGTGACTTTCTCTACATTTCTCAAAATATGTTTATCTTACAATAAACATTACTATTATCACTTTTACGTTCACCACTATCTCTAGAATCCAATCTGATTAAACCAGATTCAGGACACATCCAATGGTGTTGAGTGGGTAACATAGATAATAATGTCGTTCATAATTTTATATGTAGCATTTACAGGTTATAATTTTAATAAAAATAATTAATGCTAATGCACTTGACTTGTATTAACTGAATATAAAAAAGATATCTTGCAACTTCAGTTTTATGCTAATATTTAAAAGGGCTAAAAATTAAAAGCAATATTATCAAATATTCACATATTTCTTTTACAATAATTAATCATTTAATGCCTAAAACAGTATCTTTTCTGTGGTTCATTTAAGAAAAACTATATTTTAAATTTTCAAAAGAAAAGAAAATTTGTAGAGCAAGCTTACTTTTTATTGAAACCATAATAAAATGATTACATCTTTCTTGCTCTATGATAAAACTTAGATTAGGGGGCTGTCTTGACCCCTCCAGAATCCATTATGAGTTGCACAAGTGGGCCACGATACCCGCAGGCTGGATTCACACATAGCACTAAGCCATGTTAGTTTTAACAATGGCTATTGACTAATTCATAATAGTCAGATTCACTTATTTTACTTAGCCATAAACCAAGGTTTATAAACCACAACCTTTTCATTCACATAACTAAGCCAAAACCAAATAAATCATATTATGGCTTAGGGTGATGTTTGAACCCCAACATTATGAAATTAAATTGGAAGTAGGGAAGAGAGATATTGTTGCATGATTTTTTCAGAGCAGTAAAAGTTCAAAGAACTTTCTGCTAGTTTTTTTGGGAGGGGAGGTACGGCAATAATATAACTGGAGAAATAAATGATCTGTTCAGTTATCTATAAATGTAAATTTCTGGTAGTTTTTTTTTCTAGCAATACTATCGACTGATGAAGTATGATAAGAATGTAGCCGCAAGTGAAAATACAGCCTTAAGTTCCCAGTAGCCTTATTGCTCTTTCCCTGGCCTTCTCCCTGAAATTCACATTGTGTACTAAGACATTTCAGGTCTTCTTTCATATATATGTGTTGAGCATGCAGATTGCTAACAGTACATGTTTCAGCAAGATTGGGATCAGAATCAGGGTCGGGTTGTGAAACCTATTCACTGGAGGTTGAATTTAGGGGCAGTTACTTACAGACTATGGGCTCTTCAGTATGACAGCACTGAAGCATTTTTCTCATAGAAAGCACTTTGTGTAAAATTGTGTAAAACTCTGCTGCCTGCAATACCCTGTGCTGTTTTGTCTCAGACCCTTCTCTGAAGGTGGAGGGCAGGAGAAGCAGATCTTCCATTGTCAGTTCATTCTACAGGATTGGAGAACAGGCACCAAAAGAGCTGTTCTTGCTCACTGTTCCTACTGTCCTCTCCTGCCATACATGCTTTAATAGACAGGAATGGTGGTTTGGGTGGGGGTGGGGGTGAAAGGTAGGGGAAACAGATCTTGGTGCTAGAGAACTGCCACCAGAAAGACTTACTTCCCCTCTTCTTTTCCCACTCCCTGCTCCTCTAACTTTGAATGGAAAGAGAAGCGGTGAGAAGAGCAGCTACTTTCGTGTCAGTGCTTCCATCCTATGAAGAGATCACTCGGTGGGACCAGAGAACTGACAGCTGAAGGCCCTGTCCCATTCCCCTTTCTTTCCTCTAATAAAGCTGTCACCCTGTGTATTAGGATTAGGCATGGCAACATCTAATCCATAGGTAGAGGTGCATTTTTTACATTTGTTCAGCAGCCGTCCTCTTAACCTGACCAGTCATCTCTCCAATTTTCCCTTGGATTAACTCCACATCTCCCCCAATTCACCTACCGTCATTCCTAGTTCTCTACCACGCAATAACAATGGGAACTCCTCTTTTTCTTTCTTGTTTTAACAGGAATGTTTCACAATCAAGCCACTGACCTCCAAGTGACCATATTTTATTTACATCTTTTACTTCCTTCACTTCTCTTTTGATCCATTTGGATCCTTGAGATATTCTGGGGAATAAAGATGGCAGTGGACTGGAGGCTAATATTTCACATGGAAATCACTCTCATCACTCCTCTTGCCAAATTAATTTAAAAATAAAATAAATAATAGGCAAATAATAAACAAAACACAGATAAATAGATACAAAGATCATCAGGCTTTTTTCTAGCAACCACTGTATCTTTGACTACTTTTTGGCTTAAACATAAAGTTGCCTTCTAGCTGAGTTCAGCTCTTAGTGACTGGACACATTCACGCAGTTTGTTTTCTTGACAGCAATACAGAAGTGTTACGCTATAGCTATCTTCTGAGATGTTTTTTTCTTACGAGTGTAGCCTACAGCCCTTGACTTCCCAAATGGCCTGTAATCCAAGTATTAACCAGGGCCAACCTGTTTAGCTTTCTGGGTTGTGCGAGGTCATCTAGGTGCTGCTCAACATGACTTAAAACAAAATCGAAGCTTCTGGCATCATTCCAAATAGTTTTGAGGACTAGGATTTGTATTGTTAATCAGTTTGCTTTTTGTTTGTTGTAAGCACTATTTTAAGTTTAATAGTTTTAGGATGGAACTAAATAGCTGGGAAAACAGCAAAAGTGTCTCTAAAGAACCAGATTAAGTTAGAATTTGGCAAACTGTACATTTTAGTACCATTTTTAAAAAATAGAATTTCAGCAGCCAGAACAAGTTTGAAAGCAACGTACTTTATAGAATGCAACATACATGACACAGAATTGACACAAGAAACCCAGCAAGATGTCTTGGTTTTACT